TGGTATCGGCATTCTGTATGAAGTATGGAATCCCTTACTCCAATTACTCCTCCGCAAGATAGCTGGCCTTGTGACCTGAACATGTCAGGTCTTTGCAGATGACTGCAGCATCCCCACTGATGCCACGACACTCTGCCCCATCTGCGACAAGGCGGACACAACGGTGGCAGGAGAGTTATGTCAAACAGGTGGTAAAAGTTCTCCCCTCTTGGCACTCACTGTTCACGATGAGTTGGCACCGCGATCCAGTGACTTTCTTCCGAGTCAATGTCGTGTGGCTGGTTTTTCAGAAGTGAGGTTGGATAAAGTGCCAACAGCCTTCTGAATTAAAACGACCCAGTTGGAGTTCTGTGAAAAATTCCCCTAAAGTGGATGATGATCTACGGATCTCGATCAAGATTGCTAGGATACCCTCTTTCAATACGCAAGCATCCGTAACAGCCGCCCATGTTGGGTGAAAGGATGAGGTTGGAGAGGGCGGGCTCGAAAAGTCAAGTCTTCGGAGAAGTCGGCATACCCTGGCTCAACTCTTTGGTAAAGACGTGGTACCCCTGAGTATCAGCCTCACCACCTCATGTGCCACATATGCCTGTGATTGCGTGGAATCCTAAACCCAGCTGAAAGGCTCCAAATATGCAAGAACACTGGTAATTCTAACGGCTGGTCCAGACCGCCAGTTGAGAAACAGCACGTTTTCAAATGTTTCTAGAATAGATATATGGGTCACAGAATCTTTCAAATTTTGGCAATCGAACATTTGTACCTGCATCGGTAGCTTGATCTATAAGAATAATGAACCGAACAGCCTTTTCGAGGAAAGTCCGGCGAGGGTTCAAGGAAGGGGGTACGGTTAGTTCCCTTCGATCTTGCTCGAGTCTATGTACTCAGGGGCGAGGTGACAACGTCAGCTCTTCCATTGGCTGTTCACCTTCAGGCCAGTGCAGGTTCCAAGAGAGATCCGGCGAAACGGATAATGTTGGGGTTAGGGTAGAGGGCTTGCGTTCGTTCCAAGGAGGAAAATCACTGTGAATGTCGAAACAATGGCTCGGACTGGGTGGCTCATGCTTTCTGGTAGCTGCTAATCTTTTAATCTTGCGATGACTCTCAGACTATCTTATCTCATTCTGGTAGATTCATTTGAGCGCCTGGACAAAAATTCTGTCCAGTAAGTGGGATGGTAGATACATGAAGAATCGGAGGTTCAATGCGCTTGTTGGGAAGGTTAGTTCTGGATGTCGTGTTTCCAACTTGGCTAAGCCTGGATTTTACTAGAGTCTAGTCATTCAAAATGCCGTCCTTACTCGCGATGGAAAGCCTACCAGCAAAACGCACAAAGCTAAAAGGTGAAACAACAGTGTCTTGTGTGACAATTATTCGGATCCCAAAATGACCAAACAGAAGGCTGTTTGTTGAGAAAAGGGTGCCTTGAAAGTAAACTGAAATGGAAAATCAAGCATATCTGCAATATTATAGAAGCCTCCATGTTCTCCAGGGACTATAGTGAATCTATTGGGAAAGCATCTTGGTTCCGATGAAATACCAAATGCTGTCCAGAGGAGCAACTTCACCCGCCGTCGCAAGTGCATCTCAAGCAAGCTAAAGATTTGAGATGAATTTTAAAATAGAGTCGAGGCCCCCCCGCACCAGCCTCGAACAAAGAGAAAAGCGTTGAGGGATGCCGTGAAACCTGAACATACGCGGCATGCTCGAATAGTCCAGTCCAGGCTATTCCGGATCGTGCCGCCCTGTTGCCGCTGAATGCTTGTTTTTGTTTTCCTTTTCTTACAGGATTTGGCGTTTTGCTCCAGCCCTATGCTGTGAATCCTCAATAGCCAATCGGTTAACTTTGAACGAGCATTGAGATAGGGGTCGTAGCCCTCATTACTGAGACCAGCGCTTCCTTGACAATCTAAAATGGGCTACAGATCCTACTCCCGACCACTGTGGTTGGAACTCAGCATGATCGTGAGTGCTCAGGGCATCTGCTCCCCGCCCATTCTCAAGGGTAGCGACACCAGGGAGGGACTTCACATGGGGAACACGCATTGCCCATGGTTTTTAGAACGCAGGACGAACCATTTTGGCTTTGGATTTCTGCTTCATGCAGGCTGCCACATGCGACGCAGAAAAAGTTTCCAAGAACCAAGATTCGGCCGTGAGTCTTTATTTTTGCGTACTTTCCCCCTCTCGTACGAGACGCCCACCACCGCGAGTCTCGGCCGTGTAAGTGTCCTCGCCCGAAATGAAGGTTGAGGACTGCGTTTGCTCTAAGACACCACCAAGTGAAGACTTCTGCATGTTCAAAAGAAGCCCATCATGCCAGCCAATGGCTCACATGTTGGAGTTTTGCCGGATGTCTCACCCATAACCAAATCGCAGTCCATTCTGGTGACAGCTCAACTTCTATTAGTCGCCGACATGCTTACCGAATTCGTTCGTCTGCTTTTCGGTTCATAGTCGGCGCTAGATATGTTGATCGTCTTAATCCGAGAATTAAGAACGATGAACCGAACGCTAGATAGGCGCTACTATGATCCACCGATGCGGTGTGCCGTGCTGGCCCCGATCAATCCGGGGCAGAGTGGAGACAACGTGGTGTAGAACCCCGAAGATGATCACGTTTTCTTCGGACCCCCACGCGTTATCCCGTCATTCGCCTTGGGCCAGTGGGCGGCCGACCCTGGCAATTTTCCTCCAACAACAATTTTCTCCGCAGAACGATCCCTTTGGACGTGTGAATAGGGAACGACACCACCATGGACAAGAGAACCGAATAGATTACTGGCCCAATGGGGAAAGACTTCACGTTGCGTCCGTTACGCTTTTGGTACGTTTCCGTTTCAACTGAGCAGTCATGGTTGTGTTCCGTGAAGCATGGTTGAGAAAGGCGAAGATGTCGTCTCATTCGGGGAAATTGAAAATCCCCGGCCATTCCACTTAGAAGGGCATCTTGAGAGCCTATGGATGCATAGCATTGGAGGAACACATTGCCACGATGCCAAGAAATCGATATGTCGGCTTCGATGTTCTCCCCTGATGTATGTCTTGGCTTCAGATTAATTCCAGAGTTGAGGAGAAATAAGGAGAGCTGTGGAGTTAAGAAGTCATATCATCATGCCGCTGTATTTACCAGCGATCGGCATATAAGCGATCATCGTCCGCATGTCGTAAAACTTATGCTTAATTTCCATCGCTCCACTGAAGTCGTGAAAGTTGCTCATCTTGTAAATACCTTTTATCTCTTGATTCTTGTTGCGATGAAGTTGAATGGCTTTGCGTCTTGGGCCTTTCTGGCTATCGCTGCATCGGCTTCGCCCACTCCTACGAACCCTGAAGGTCGTCTCCTGAACAAGAGGGCTGCTATCACGGATGCAGCAAACATTGGTTATGCCACTCAGAATGGCGGGTAAGGATAGACGATATCAAAGTTGTCCAGAGCATTTGAACTGATCCGTGAAATTTAGAACCAAGGGTGGCGCCGGAGGAACCACTACTACAGTGACGAACCTTGCTCAACTATCCGCCGCAGCTATTGCATCCGGTCCAGGGATTGTCATTGTTTCAGGCAACATTGTCGGCGCGGCAAAAGTCCAAGTCGGCTCTGATAAAACTATCGTGGGAAAGACGGGCAGCTGTAAGTGACGCTACTCACTCGAACCCCCTCAAAGCTCATATTTTTCGATTATAGCTCTAGAGGGTATCGGCCTCACTATTCTTGGACAAAAGAACGTTATCGTCCGCAACATGAAGATCAGCAAGGTCGAAGCAGACTACGGTGACGCCATTACCATTCAGCTATCCAAGAACGTATGGGTAGACCACTGCGATCTTTCTGCCACCCGCGACGGCGACAAGGACTTCTACGATGGGTTGACTGATCTCTCTCACGCCGCTGACTGGGTCACCATCTCCCACACGTACTTTCATGACCACTCCAAGGGCTCTCTTGTTGGCCACTCTGACAGTAATGCCGCCGAGGATACGGGAACCCTCCACGTCACTTATGCGAATAATCACTTCTACAACGTCCGCAGTCGTGGGCCCCTTTTGCGTTTCGGAACTGCCCATATTTACAACCAGTTCTACAACACCATGGATACGGGCATCAACACTCGCATGAGTGCACAAGCTCTCATTCAGAGCTCCGTCTTTGAGAATGTCGGAAAGAAGGCCATATTTAGCGAGTCTAGCAAGGAGATTGGGTAAGTGCCTTCAACCACTTTGGACTACCTTAAGCTGGCAGCGTTCCGTGACTAATGATCCTACTCCACAGGTATGCTGTTGCCATTGATGTTGTGCTTGGTGGTGAAAGCCAAAACACTGCATCAGTTGGCACATTGAATGCTAACAGCCCTCCTTACTCGTACTCTCTTCTTGGATCTGCCAATGTGAAGGCTGCTGTGACCAAGGAGGCCGGACAGACTCTTGGATTTTGAGTGGCTCACGTCGAATTGTACTGCCAATGTGATAAGCGAAATCCGTCGGGTGTGTCTATGAGAAATTACAAGGCGGAATGACTTCATTTAGAAGACCCAAATGACGTTATGTCTTCGGAGTATTGTACATGGAATCTATATCACTTTCTATCTCTCATTCATGATCATGGGGATGAACTCAAACTGGACTTGAGTCAACAAGCGGTGAAGCAATGAGTTGATCATCTGAGCATTAGCTTGGCACAGATGGTCTTTGTACCGAGAAGAATGCTTGGCTCAAAGCTTGGCAACTTAATCTATCCTGGGTGTCATTGGGTTTCACCTAGGCGTCTGGACAAGGTTATCCAAAGATACGCTCATATTGATCACAGACCACTACATACTACCACTTAGTACACGTTGACTGGCCACCCCAGCCTTAGTCCTTGACGTTAAGCTTGAAATGCGAGTCATCCCCGCAAGAAAGATCCAACATAGGCGACGAAATGCCCGTCGCGACGGATGGATGCATGCTCAGAGTCTTTGACAGCAGCCTTCTTGACTCAATCGCTGGAGACGACGGGTTTAAGCGCGACAAAGGGCGCTTATAAGGAGCAGGATGCTCAACGTGAGGTCTCTCGCATGCAGTCTCTTGCCTTCGGCGGCACCGCTACCTGTTGGCGTCGCCACAGCTGCGCTCGTTTGTGTTGATGAAGCTGTAGTAAGTGGTGTGGATGCCGCGCTTGAGTCAGACATTGAGATCGAAGCTTCTTGAGACGACGAAGATGTTGTGATATCTGTCGTTACCGTCGCGGTTGGCGATGTAGTCGGGCTTTCAACGACAGACGTAACCTCGCTGATGCGCGAATAAATATCGGTCGTCCAAGACCTAGTCTTCCACGAGAGGACAGGAGTATTGGGAAAACTTGTAGGCCATGCCACGCCTGGCGGTGTCACCGTGGCGCAGACAACCTCCCAGGATGAGGGCTCCCTTGTGCCGTCGGTGAGACACATGAAGTGGTTGCTGAACCCGTAGGGGTTATCCGAATTGTCGGCATTCATCTCCGGACTGATCTGACATAAAGTAGCGCACGAGACTGGGTACACCTGGTCGTTGGACGACGTCGGGCTCGTGATGTTGTAGACCGTGCCGGAGCAGCATTCCGCAAAGTGCGGGGCGCTGTTGCGGCCGACGGGCGGGGTCTTGCATATTATGCCAGCGATGGACTCCGGCCATTCGGAAAACGCGTTAGATGATAGTGTGTTGAAGGTCACATCGCCAGCACACCTCGGATATATGCTCATGGTGGCTACTTGTGCGTTTTGAGCAAATTTGCAATAAAATTGTTTGCTTCGGGAACACGGGCAAAGAAGTCAGAGATCTCTAAACAATGGAAGGCGTGAAAAGTGTGCACAAGATTGCTGACGCATCAAGGTGTGATGGCTAGGCTGCCGCTAGCTTGGATCTGCTATGTCGACTAGGGTGGCGATCGTCATGTCCTATCATGCCGAGGGACTTTTGTGAAAGCGTACTTAATTGCAGGCTTCTGATAATGTCGTTTGGTTGAGTTCGGCATTTTTGAAGGGGAAACTTGAATACCATCTAACACCAAGATTACATACAGTGCGCTTAAAAATATTCAACCACGAGTGGCAGTCCCAATACTCTCGAATACCTGAAAGACAGTATCTCGAGTTCTGGACGCGATTTCCTCAATCTCTTCGCTTGTACTAGTGTATGCAGGCGCAAGAAGGACGTGATCGCCCAGAACACCATCTTTCGTTCCCATCCCTGGATACAAGCTGATGCTGAAGTCGTTGAATCCAACAAGATGAGTTTTGTTCGCAATATCCTCAAATCTTGGGAAAGGTTCTTTGGTAATTCTGTCCATGACAAACTCGATCTACAGGAGAAAGGCTTGTGAGTTTGCGCCTCGAGAAAGCAAAGAGCGAATAGCCTCTCATAGACTTACCCCCCAAAAGAGGCCTTTGCCTCGGATGTTGCCAACATGAGGGTGGTCATCTAGGTAGTACCGCAACTGCTTCTCAAGCAGAGCGCCCTGTTTTCGAACGTTTGCGACGAGATCCTCTTCCCGGATGATTCGCTGGACTTCGAGAGCAGCAGCGCATCCAACAGGATGGCCCTGATAAGTATGTCCGTGTGAAAATGAGCTGAATGGTGATCAGTCAACCTTGTATGATAATTATGCAGGAGAAGTCTGTAGAGATCTTACCCGCTTCCATTCTTGAGAGCATCAGCCACACGGTGATTGATGAGCATACCAGCCATGGACGCGTAACCGCCGCCGAGACCTTTAGCAAGTGTCTTGATATCAGGGATAACTCCCTCTTGTTGCCACGCATGCAGAGAGCCGCAGCGACCCATGCCGGACATGACCTCTTCGCGAATGTCAGTGTTTATTTGGTACAAAATGTTTTAGACGCGCGCCTCAGGCTCGGTGTTCTTACCATCCAAGATAAGTAGGGCGCCATACTTGTCGCAGATTTTTCTAATAGCCCTGAAATATCCAGGCAGAGCTGGAATACAACCCAGAGTCTGCGGGAATGAATATTAAAACGAGGTTATAATAGTTGAGACATTAGAGGACTACTTACTGCACCAACAACAGGCTCTGCGACAAATGCGCATACCGAATCGGGGCCAAGCTCTTGGAATTTCTGGTCCAGCTCATCGGCCAGTTGACTGACGTATTCCTGCTCGGTCTGACCCTCGCTCATACCGCGGTACGGGTTGCAAGCTGACACTCTGTATATGTTCGGAAGCAGCATATCGAGGAAGAGACTCCGCCGCGCGACATGCCCGCTCATTGACAGCGAACCAAGAGTTGTACCATGGTATGATCCTTCTCTGGCAATGAAATTGATCCGCTCTGGCTGTTGAGGAGATAATTCCATAAAATACTGTCGTGCCATCTTCATTGCGGATTCCATAGCCTCAGAGCCTAGGAGCGTTAGTCTCAAGTGTTTGTTATCATTTCCTCTCAAAGGGGCTGAAAGTATACCTGAGCACATGATGTACGCTTTCGACATGGCACCGCCTGTGCCGTCAATGAGTTCATCAGCAAGCTTCTCCCCAATCTCGTGGCCAAAGAACATGGAGTTGCAATAGGCAAACTTGTCAATTTGCTCAACCATGGCTTTCTTGACTCGTTCATTGTTCGATCCTATGCATGCTACTGCTGCGCCGCATGTTGAATCCAAGATGGTTCGGCCATCAGAAAATGTTAGATACTTGCCCTTTGCTGATACCACACGTGGCGGCGCGCTTTTCAGTGAGCGGTGGAGGACTGCACTGGCAGATGGAATCCCGTTCACGACGGGGTTGAGTGTTGATACGAATTCTGGACCAAGCTTGGCGGCTGCCTTTGCCATCTTTTGCGACGCAGTAGCCATCTCAAAAATATTTATCACAGCCGGTCAAGTGGACAGAACAAAATAGACGTAATACTCGAGGGTTCGCGAGGTTGAGAGCAGAGACACTAGAGCTAATAAGCTTTGTGACCATATGCGGGAGGTGGGCTAGAGATATACCTAGTCCTAGGCATGTTACCTTGTATCGTTAGCGTTGCTCTGATCTGAAAGCTGGTCAATATTGGAGGCTGACTATCTGATACGGTATCATATGGGCTCAAGGCGTATCTGCATGGCGTATCTGGCGTGAGTGGAGGCTTTGCGTCGGCCTAAGGCGGGGTAAGGACCGGTTCCGATCTTGCTGGTCTCTGTAGATCTAGTCGTGAGCTTAAAGATTATTGGTTCAGCATCGCTTGCTGGGCATGGGTTATACGTGGTCGCCGACCTGACGCTCAATGTAGCTAGCCTTTGTTTGTGCATTTCTATCATTTTAGTAGACTGTTGTGAATTGTATCGATAACCGGCCCTAAGTCAAGAGAAGATGTTCCCCAGTCTCGTCCAAGATGTCAGTCCAGTCTGCTTCATCTGTCAAACCTGAGTTTTGCCGCCTTTGCCATAAATCTTCTAGTATGATCAAAGAACGAGAAATATTCTGGAATCGTCGTTTCTGCAACGTCATCTGCAACCGAACACGAACAGCATCCATGTGTTCGTCCTCAGTCGCCTCGCCGCCAGCAAGGAAGAGAGGAAAGAGTATTGCCGACTCGGTATGTGACCCGACCGGAATATCTGAGACGTGCCTCAGGATGTTAGACACCTGCGTCCGCATCTTTGTCGGTAGCATCTCCTCTGTCATGGCTTCAGAGCTTGCTCCTTGAGTGGACTCTTCCTCCGAACTCAGGCGACTCCTTATCAGTCGGAATAGCACAATAAGGACAGCGCTCCTAAATGCATGCGCCAGAGCAGCAAGTTCTGGAGCGGCATCTGGCCTACATCGCCAGTCTTGCAGCTCTTGCTCGACTCCTTCGCAGGTGGCATGGAACAACTTCTTTCTTCTGGTTATCTCCTCAGCCCCCAGAGCAACATCGAGTCTGGTCTCTTCATCGATGCTACTCAAAGTAGCTACATGGCGTAGAAGATCTGTGGCGACGCCTAGGTAGGTGTCGACAACGTCTGTGATGCCATCCAGATAACTGCAGTCTAGCAGCGGCCTCCTCCGCATGGTCACACTCCCAATCATGTCGTGATACGCAAAGTTTCGAAGAATCCACTGACCCTCGGAGCTCCGTTTGAAGACTTCAGGTCCTCGCAAGGTCGTCCCTGAGCTTGGATTGACCACGGCGGACTCGATGATGAGCTTGGCACCGTTGAGGTGGGCACACCACCCGTCGTTATCTCCTACGCATACCTCACCTATGACAAAGGCCAAGCATGTTGCTGCTTTGGTTTCGTACCATGTGATTTCATGTTGTGGTTTTGCGAGGGCTGTGGCGAGGTTGGTGATTGCTGTCGAGTGTGCTTCTAAGGCAGAGACCCGATATGACTCATTTGTGAGTGACAAGTGACCAGAAGCAAAAGCGACCAGTGCATCGTAAAGCACACTCGATTCCATAGCCATTGGTAGGAACTCTGAAAGAGTCTAAGTGTCAGTTGCAGCCTATCGAGACATATGGAAGTGCATCCAATTCATTCAGAGAGTGACGAACCAGATAGGAAAGAGTTGAACTGCTCGCTTGCAGTCAAAAAATGGCTCAGCACTGTAATGTAGTATCGCATTACTTGTCGCTTCTGAGGCGGTTCGCCCTGGTCCACGCCCGGAGGTGAAGCAAGCAACGGAAAACATGACGATAATGGTTGATGCGAGTTATCTCTCGTCGACGGTCGTAGCGCCTGAGTTGCCTGCGGTGTGCTCTTCTTCTGTTCGACCCAGGTAGTCGGGACTACATCGCGAGCCGTCGATCGCACGCATCTCAGATTCAACCTGGAGCATGTTCCACAGATTGGAAACGTGTTCTCGACGCACTTCTTCCTCCTAATGTTCCAAGAATACTTATCAGAATGAGAGGTCCCGCGATAGGTTTATCGGTGAGGCGGACTTACCGATATCGGCAGGTTAGACATCCCGTTTTGTCGTGTTTGGAGCCCTTTCGTCGCCGCGTTTCTGATTGAAATTGTAAAGACATGACGGCCTCGGGTTGACCTTCCATTATAATAGGCAAGCAACGTTGCTATGATCCAACTCCGGCGTGTTGGGCGTAACAGACAACAAACACGTGGGGGGAATCTTGATGTCAAGGAGGAAAAAGAGGGACTCTTTCAGCGGTCCAAGCACGGTGAGTGGATTACGGGGAGAAGCAACGGAAGTTTCCATCCAGTTATTACTCGGACACTTGCCTGATCAGTCATAGCACCAATTTGTCGGTATTAATGTCTTTCCCCGCCATTGACGAGCGCCATCGGCCCCTCACTACGGAGAAGAACATCTTGAGTCTTTGCAGGAATTCTTATTCGCTGATTCAACTTGACAGACTTATCTCTTTTCTGATTTTATCTTATCAAGACTCCAGGGTCCTTTTCCCCCTTCGCTATCTTAAGCTATCGCCCAACTGCCGAGGTGCATGACTCGAGCCAAGGGCTAACAGGTCGGAATACGTCGCCGGAAAGAATTGCGGAATGCTTCCCGTAATTAGCCAAAGAGTCAGCTCTACTCAAAGAGAACCTGAAAACTCAAACGCAAACAATCGCGCATCAGCCAGAGCGGCGACTCGGTGCGGCACTACGAGTCGCTTGTACTCTTCGCTCGCAATTGTGTCTCTGAAAACTCCAATGTTCTCGTATTGCACAAGAGCCACTTCATCCCAATCATCGTCCCCCAGCCCTAGCACCTTCCCAACCATTTTGCCGGAGAATGGGACACGAGTGCCATTCATCGTAGGAAGGGCGAAAAAAGCAGGCACGTAACGTTGTTGCCACGCATCTTGACCGCTACAAGCGGGGAGAGAGTGGAAATCGGCTGGAGCGGTAGGGTCGTAAATAGCGACGGGGCGAAACTTCAAAAGATTGAGCATGTAGACCGGGATGTTAGGATCGATAGGACCAATGGCATCTTTGACTGCTGCTATGTCCGTAAGCTCAGTGGCAGGCATTGGAAGATACAGATGTGAGTAATTCTAGGTGACGCGAGCCGACTAGTTGTTTTATGTCATGTGGTTTGCTGAGACACAGCTGAAAGTGAGACCAAGGCTTCCCTTAGCCTTTTGTACATGCTGGTGGAACGAGTTGACATATTGACCGGCCCGTCCCATTCTAGACTTTTGCGGATGACAAACGTTAGTTGCGGATAGCCCAGCCAATTCTCCAGCCACTGGCCAACCTAAGCCTGGGCTAAGTGTCTACCTCACTTAGCACATCACCGAACGGCGCTATTTGATAATGACATTTGAACGGTGGAATATTTGGGCAATTGCACTCTGTATCAGATTGGCTATTTTGGGTTTGTCATCGATTCCATACGGCTACAGGGCTTTTGCTCCACGAGAGGTCGGAGCCGGGTAAGTTACGTGAAATGGCACGTCGCAGCAGGATCCAAATAGGTAAGCCTAGAGCATCGGGAAAGTATGTAATTCATCCGCTCTGGCTTACCAATTCCCTTGACGTGTATTCAAGTCTCTCATCCGTCGGGCCCGGCATCAGAGAAGCTATTATACGAACCTGAGAGAGGTCGCACGACATCCCCAAACACCTGACAACTTTAAAACGAACTCTATTACCTACTGTATAAGAGAGTGTAGGAACTTAGGCTCTCTAAGGACTTATCCGACTACTCGTCATGTTTGCTTCTTATGACTAGTCATTTTACGGAGTTAACGTATTGGGACGAATGTTGGAATTCTCCCAGTCAATACCAGTCGTACGGTGTGGGCCGTCACGCAGGACCCACACTTTCTTCCCATCACGAAGAATGGTTTAGTCAATACTATACAACGAAGTGACGGCTCACATCGTACGCCTGTTGCTGACCGTGAGATTTCTGACATTATTCCTAATACGTTTACTCCGTAAAATGAGTTACTATGACAATCAGACATGTCATAGACCACACACTCTGTGAGCTTGATTGAGTCGGTCTCGCTCCGCTGTCTCTCACAAATCCGACATTGAACTCCGACCTTCCTAACCACTACTGAGATGTATAAATACAGAGAATTCCTTTGAGTCCATCGACTGTTTGTTTCCTCCAACACACCGCACAATTGAATCAGTTTTCTAAGAAGCTTCCTCATACCAACTTGAACCGTCTTCATTAGCGACCAATTACCTATCAGTGAGCAACACTACACCTATAGGCGAGCAAACAGCTGATGAGATTGTTAGATATGAAGACCTATACTATCCTCGCCATTGCCGCCCAGGCTGCGGTTGTCCTCGCCAACTGCAAAGTCCAGCTTCTCGATGGCAACAGCTTTCAGCTTGGCACTGCCTGCATACCCAAGGGCGGACAGGGCCACATCACCGTCAACGGTCGTAACTGGTTCATCGATGCGACGACCAGCTGCGGGCTGAGCTTTATCAGCACCCAGAACCCCCCTTCCGGATGGCAGCTCAAGTCCCTCGGCAGCTGCTGAGATCTTGAGGCGTGGGGCAGCTAGAACGTCCACCTTCAACTGGACAGGCCCATGCCACCCGAGTAACTTCTGGGATATTAGTAACTTAGCTATCACATAGAGAAGAAGGCTTTCCAGTAGGGGAAAAAGGATTTGGCAACAGTCGATTGTTGTAACATCGATCTCAACGCTCAGTTGAAAGCCTATCGAATGTATTTCATTACATTTTTAAGGCTCAGGGGGCGTATAGGAATTGAATAACAACATATTTACTGTTTTCACACGTTGTGTGAATGCTGAATCTGAAAATTCGTAATCTTTTCGCAACCGGCTCCCAGAGATGAATGTAATGCTAGTATGGTAGGTTGACCGAACATGGGGGTGATTTGCCCCTATCGGTTTTGTATGAGAGGCAAGATTGGTGTATGATTTCTTGCTTGCCTCCGACGAGTTCCGTCAGCTGGTCCGCGCCGATGTCGATTCGAACTGATCGCACGATGTACTAACCCTCCTAATACCAATGCTATCTTTTATTAGTTTTCAAATTAGTTTGTGTCTGGTAAACTTTGCCCTCAAAGAGGTATGAAGCCCCATGTGCTCGAGCATGGAATATGAACAAGCGTCCAGAAATCTTACGAGCGATGCTTTGGATTATTGTGAAATTTTAATTGAGACTTTTCATCCTTACTCCTTATCTCTTCCTCCTTCGCTTAATCTTATACCGCCTGAATCAGAGAGGGGTCTGCCCAGCTATACGAGGCGAATGGTGCTAAATAGTCGTCTTTTCTACCCATCGTATATTCATCCGTAGCACTATTTGTCTGCTTTCACCAACGGCTAAGTTATAATACCGAAGAATGATAGTCTTGATGAAAAGATGAGCTGTGTGGATGTGGGCCTTTTCACTTATTCTCTATTCGCTGATTCAAGATCCTTGCAGATCAACAATCAGAGCTTTCGATGTGACCAACATATTTTCAGTAGCAATAGTACGCACAGGAGAAATCCATAGCTAGTGCGTCAATCTGGCTGAGGAGCAATATGCTCTCAAAGTCTGATTATAAGCAACTCCGAGGAATTTAATTACTAATCGTATCAAATTTTAATTGTTTATCAAACATAAGACCCCTATCCCATTCGATTCGAGCTACTACCTACTTGCTGCACATATCTCGATAGAAATGCGGAGCAGAGGGGTTTAGGTAGAGAAAGCGTATAGTATCATTTCCATTTGCCCTTTGATTCTAAATATCGGATAGTATCATTCGTCGAGCACGCAGTTGAGAAATCAGAGAACATAATATGGTTTAATAATCAGTGAAACAAAATATGGTAGAAGAAGTCAGACTCAACGCCCTCAGAACTGGGCAACGCTACATGTGGAGGCCTTTGGTGTTCTGGCCGAGATGACGTAGGAGACCTGTCACGAAATTAAGTCGGGCGTCTGACAAATAGCGTCCGGCGGCGTTTCTGACCAGAAATCTATCCTCATCCGCCTGCTTCGCTGACATATGAGCTGTCATAGTCCATTGTGTATCCTCGGTATTAGGTGTTGAGTAATCATCAACAAGGAGACACGCCGCAGAGAAGCCGTCTCACTGACTACAATTCAATGATTGATTCTAGCCCATCCCCATAACCTGCTTCTCTAACCCGTTCCTCCGATTGACAAGTGCATTTAGCAATTGATTTCTGTACATTGATTTAGAAGCCTATATTCATACCGGCAAGATTGATCATAGCACCATATCTATAAGATCCGCCATGTCGCTTCTCAATTCTGCAAATGCTGGCTACATCATCGCCGCCCTTTGCATGGTCTTCTCCGCCTATGTCAGTAGGAAGCTACCTCATCTGTTTGGGTGGGGCGGTTCTCTCGACTCAAAATATGCTAATGGTTTTGGGAACAGGTTCTTCTCAGAGGACTGACTTGCTCGATCAGTCATGTACCTGGCCCGTGGCATACTTGCTTCGTCAACTATACTCTAAAATTCCATGTGCTCGTAGGTCGTCGAATGCATTACGTACACTCTCTCCACCAGAAGTACGGATCATTTGTGCGAATCTCGCCCAATGAAGTCGCAATCGCGGACCCCGAGTCGTTTACTGCAATTCACAAGATTGGCTCTGGCTTCACCAAAGGGCCATGGTACTCTGAGGTCATAGATGGGCGTGAGCCAGGCATTGTCTTTATCACCGATCCCAAGGAGCATGCTGTGAGGCGCAGGCTGTTTTCTAGAGCCTTTACGAGCCTCTCGCTGCGCGAGAATTGGGAGTTGGTTGTTCGAGAGAAGGTTGAATTAGTCGTAGACCGTATTCGGGCGGATGCTTTGAAGGGTAAAGCCGATATTCTCAAGTGGTGGATGCTCATGACGACGGACGTTATTGCCCACTTGTCTTTTGGCGAGTCCTTCAAGACACTAGAACTCGGCGAGGTCAGTTTAACAAATCTTGTTTGGACGTAACGCTGAATTCTATTAGAAAAGCTCCTACATCCACGCGTTGGAAATGCTCTTCACAGCTTCAATGTTTCGACGCGAAGTGCCGTGGCTATTCTATCTCGCCCAATATCTACCCTTTCAGTACCCCAAGGAGCTTGCAAACGCGGGGCACATCATCGGCGAATATGCTAGTATGGCCACAAGCAGCCGAAAAGGCAATGGGCATTCTGCAGACCTATTCAGTAACATGCAAGCTGCGTGTGATGAAAAGATCGAGTACAGCCTGACTCCGGAAAAGTTGCAGTCAGAGGCGACGAACCTCATCGTGGCAGGGTCCGATACCACCTCTATTACACTGACCTACCTAGTCTGGGTGGTGCTGAAGAGACCGACCCTCCGTCAAAATCTCGAAGCGGAGCTTCACAACCTCAGAGACGATGAGATCAACGACGCCGTTCTCGAGAAACTGCCGCTTCTCAACGCCGTCATCGAAGAGACGTTGCGCGTGTACGGGGCGGTTGCAGGTAACCTACCTAGGTCTGTACCTCCGGGTGGTGTGACGCTGGGTGGATTCTTCATTCCTGGTGGCATAGTTGTAGAGACGCAGGCGTACACGCTCCACCGTAACCCCAATGTTTTTCCAGACCCTGAGAGGTAAGATGCGTGGCCTGTGCCGTGAACCCATCAAATTGGCAGATCAAGCTGATACCTGCGTAGATTCGACGAGACTCGATTTCTGACTGAGGGATTGACGAAGGAGCAGAGGCGATCATTGTCTGCTTGGGGAGCTGGGACTCGGGTTTGTATTGGAGCACATTTAGCTCGCATGGAGTTACGACTCGCTGTGGCAGTTTTTTTCCGCGAATGTCGAGGCATAAGACTAGCTGACGACATGACCGATGATGTGATGGACATGCGCAATGTTTGGCTGATTAGTCCGGTTGGTCATCGTTGCGATGTCACACTCAAACAAAGGGAAGCTGCATTCTTATCTTAGTGTGTTGCAGTGGATGTGACTCCTGTAAAGGAGTCTGCCGAAGGACCATACATGTACGTCATCGCCGAATGTTATTTCTAGAGAGAATCAGGATTTGTTGAGTCTGAAAAATATGCGAGATCAGGCGTCTTCCAACTGTCACTGCCTGAGGTTCGACTACTTGGTTGAGCCGTGGAAGGCTTCTCGTAGCCCATGAGGCATTAGAGAGAATCCTGCTTTTAGATTTGCTTCGTATCAAACATGACTTATATAATTCTTAGAGCAAGATAGTTTTCTGTCTGTATATCAAATTGCGCTCCAGATTCCCAATCATACAGCAGTCGCTAGTCTCTTAAGCACGTCTACCATTATCCTCAACCATTGTTACATGCGAAACAACTTTGTCTTCCTCGTGCTGCAATTGCTCCTGAACATCGTGCCTAACCTTCTCGTCCTCGGTAGGATAGGCGCGCTTGAACATGGTCCATAATGAGTGAGCAAAGAGATCATCCATGGATTCGATGCTTCGGCCCTTGAGCTCGGGCAGACAGAAAAAGACGAAAATGGCACCAATGTACGTCATGATGGAAAAGAACAAGAACGTGCCGTACTTCATGGTACTCAGCATGTGTGGTGTGGCCGAGGTGATACCGTAGTTGACGATCCAGTTTGTGAAGAGGCAGCAGGACATGCAGACCGATCGAACTCGCGCGGGGAAGATCTCAGCGGCTACGACGTATGGTGCTACTGAGTGCCCGAAAGACCAGCCGAAAGCGTAGAGATAAATCCTGGTCTCGTATTAGACGAAAATCTCTTTGAGACTGTGCGCTTCAAGAAACTCACATGATAATGCCCACAATGCCACCCGGAGTCGTTCCACTTCCAGGCTGAACATCGGAAAAGCGGAGAAAGAGACCAATGTAGAGCATAGCTGTAGCCTGAATGGTTGCTCCGATCATGAGTGGAAGACGACGTCCAACACGGTCAACAATGACAGTAACGTAGATTATGGTCGTTGCAAGCTTGACAACACCGTAGACGCCAGTCGTCAAAAGAGAACTCGAGCCTTTAGGTACTCCAATCATGGCGAAGATTTGGGGCGCAAAGTAGTTCAGGGAGTCAGTGCCTAAAGTTGCACACTGTCAGCTTACCCGCATACTATGACCTGAAGGGTAGCGGAGTGGTCCTACCTGTAAGCTTGTGGAACAGGAACAGCATGACGGCAAGGAAAAGTCGCCGCCGATTGCTGGCGTTGGTGACGATGTCTTTTACAACCACCACATAGCCATGACCTAAGAGTAGGGGTCAACTTTGTTCTTCCGCATGCGTGTTTTCATGCCCTGTTTTTTGTCATACCCTTGGCTTGGCTTTGCTCGGCTTCCGACTGGGCCAGAATTTCCAGATACTCTTGGTGTACGTAAGGGTGTTCGGCAGGCAGGCCTCTCAGCTTGCACAGGTTCCTAAGTCCGCGCTCTTGTTTCCCTTTCGAAATGAGGGCTCGTGGGGTCTCGACGACGACTATGTGAATGGTCACGTTAGTCTTTTTGGTTTAGCTTGTGAGGTGTTGTATCATCGTGAGGACTTACACCAGATAAGAGTGAAGAGGAAGAAGCCTGGAATCAACTGAATGCCAAGAGCCAGCTGCCAAGCCTTGTTGTTGTCGGGGTCCTGATTGGGCCAAAGGCTGACTGCGTAGTTGACCCAAAAGGCAATCGCAAGTGCCAAGATGATCATCAAGTTGTACGATGTAGTAAGGGAGCCTCTGATCGACTTTGGGGAGTTTTCTGCCAGGTACTGGGGAGCCAACTGAAAGTTGTGCATTAGCCTCATCGCCGAAGTCTCGATAGGGTTGCAACAAGAGTACTTACCATTGAGGTCGCACCGATGGCTACACCAGCTAGGAGTCTTCCAGCGTAAAGAACATCCAGGTTGGGAACTTCTTGCATGGAGCAGCCTACAAGAAATAGAGCGGCCATTGATGTGACGGCCTTCTTCCTACCAAGGAAATCGGACAGAGGCGCTGCTAGCAAAGCACCGGCAGTCCCGCCGGCAGCGACTGAAGATGCCCTGTTAGAACTGATGTGTAAAATCAAATATCGGTTGAGGTTTACTTACGCATAGCTGCTATGTTGCCCTCTGCATTGTGTTTCCGTCAGCAGTGGTTCCAACAAACAACAAACATAGCGATAAGAGGGAATGGCTTTACCTCTCGTGTTTGCTTCTTCTTCGCTTATTGTGTCAAACCCAAAGGCACGCCGGAAGGATGGAAACGTCATGATGCCCCCGATATTTCCCTGGTCAAAACCGTATGAACATCCCGCAAAGGCTATTGTGATGCCTAACAGCAGAAGCTTAGAGTTAAAGATCTCCTTTGGATCCTTCTTCCAGTCGGGGGAAGCCCATAGTGATGTTCCACCACCCATTGTCGAAGAGAGTATTCCGGTGAAGGTCGATAGGGGTTAGGTATCGTGTTGCAAGAAGCTGAGTTCGGCGGGCCAGAAATTCTGTACTGTTGGCTCTCTGTTGGTCCGAGATCAAGTTCACAAGAAGGTTGCAACTGTATCATATACCCGGATAAACTGACTCGACCCTTGTGCCTATTCACGAACTGGCCCTAGCACTCACCTTCCCCCATGGGGAGCAGTTCCAAGAGCCGAATTACCCCGCGTAATCCACAGCATTTCTCGAGCCATGTATGCATGGGGTGTCTATTGGGAAATCAACCAATACAATCATCGGGGAGAAGGCCGTAGTCATGAGGTGTCATCGGGTTGCATCGTGTTGCTATTTGACAGTGATTGATCGTCGCCCGTTCAATCTCTGGCTTGCCCCGTTTTCAGGAAGACCGACAATACCCTAAGCTGTCATTCTCGTGGCTGTGAGCGTTGTTTTGTTACCCTTAGACGGAATAGGAAATTCGGAGACTTGTCCTAGCCCAGAACTCTCCAAACGCCTGCGACACGGAGCATGGACGGGGGCTTCCCGGGAGGTTATGAATTGCGGGGCCGGAAATCTCGCCGGCGGGCGAAGGCGGTTGATTGCGGGGAAGGGTGGGAGGAGAGGTGCATGTCGAGGCGTAATTGGCAAACGTGGTTCGACTCAAGAAATACATGTAGACTGAACCTGGCTCTACAGGGTGATAATACCAGACTTGATGGCTGGATCGATACTAGACAACCTACCCATTCGGACACTCTTCGGCCAGCTTTCTATTATCGGGTTAGACAAACTTCAATCTCCCAAACTCTTGCCAAACCACCCACACAACTAGGCCTACCATGTCCCCAAACCTGCAGACTGCTGCCATCCCCGCGGCAACGGTTCAGTCCCATGCATCCAACCTACTCCAATTGCCCGACAAGACCCTACTATGCGTCTGGTTCGGGGGCTCCCAGGAAGGCCTCCCAGATATCAGCATCTGGCTATCTCGTCAAGAGCCTGGAACAACTTGCTGGTCGACGCCTCAAAAGATATCTTCTGACACCAACCGCAGCTGCCAGAACCCGGTGCTTTTCCGAGCACCCAAGACGGGAAATATCTGGCTCTTCCACACCTCTCAAGATGCGGGCAACCAAGATGGGGCCATCGTAATGGCCCGCACTTCAAGCGACAATGGCAAGACGTGGTCATCGCCCCGCTATCCCCTGAAAGGTGTCACCGGGGCTTTTGTGCGCCAACCTCTCGTCGTTCTCGGGGATGATACTTGGGTCCTTCCAGTTTTCCACTGCCGATCAACACCAGGTCAGAGGTGGATTGGGAACAATGATATCTCTGCGGTGTTCTACTCCAAAGACGAGGGTCAAACATGGATAGAGAATGTGGTGCCTAATAGCATTGGCTCTGTCCATATGAATATCATCGCACCAAAGAGCGAAGGTTCTGGATATGTAGCATTCTTTCGCAGTCGGTGGGCAGACAATGTCTACCGTTCAACATCGCCAGATGGCCTGAACTGGGCTCCTCCCAAGCCGACATCTCTTCCGAATCCCAACAGCGGTATCTGCGCCGCACGGCTAGCATCAGGTAATCTGGCCATCGTATTCAACCGCTCCTCCGCCGAGCCTGACATGGCCAAGCGAGAGGGCCTCTATGACGACATCACACCCGAAGATGACAAGAGACCGAATCAAGCTTCGGTGAATGGCAAAAATGCAATTTGGGGAACCCCGCGTAAAACGCTTACGGTTGCTGTGTCTAGCGACGATGGATTGACATGGAAGGAGAAGGTCCTTGAGGAAGGCGATGGGTTTTGCATGACGAACAATTCCATCGAGAAGACAAATCGGGAGTTGAGCTATCCTAGCATCTTTGTTGAGAAGGATAGTGTGCATGTTGCTTTTACATTCCATCGCCAGTATATCAAATATGTTAGAATAGGCGATATAGAGGGTTGGGTAGATCAAGCATAGCTTCACATGGCTGAGGCCTAAGGGTGGCTTTGAAAATCACGATCGTTATGCTTAATGATTAATGGCTGCACTTCATGCTTTGCAGAGAATTCGTCTCAACTTTATTCACCCCCAAGAGGACGACCTGGGAAACATGATGGAGTAATACTTCTTGACTTGCAAAACGAAATTAAACATGTGTTACTCGATGCTCATCACTGTAGCGAACGCATGCTGAACGATCTTAGTTGAGGTAGTAATCCATTGAACTTAACGAAATCTGATCAATGATCTATTGCTAAAGTGACTATTTGCTCCACGACCTTTGCTTTTCCGTCTCTCCGAGTACACCAAGTGTTTCTAAAGCCCATACCTTAGTTGTGTCGCCGAGTGGAAGATACGGCCGCCTCATCTCCCACGATGACTCGTCGGTGAGCCCGATATCGCGACCAAAGAAGTGCCAGGCACCGTATTTTGTCAAGGCAATACCCTTCTTACAAGCCCATTCCGCGTTTGCCACATCATATTGCAGTTTCAGGGACTCACCAGCCTTCCCATCCTTCCACAGGTCGTACACTGCTGACGTTGAACCGGGAAAGATGTTTCCCATGCCCGTTACGCAGCCACTTCCTCCAGCCTGTAGCGTTGGAAGAAGGTAGTCGCTGCTGCCACCAAAAACACCAAATTGCTCATGTGTAAACTTGCTGGTCAAGCGAGTCACCTTGCCGACGTTACCGCAGGTCAGCTTCACAGCCACGATGTTGGGATGCGACGCGAGAGCAGTAATCTGGTCGGAATCGAGATCCACGCCAGACGTGACGCCAGGGAAATTGTAGATGACAATCGGAATAGGAGAGTTATCCGCAACATCTCGGTAAAATCCCAATATTGCGTCACTTGATAGGGCTTTAGCCCAGTAGCTGGGTGGGAGCAAAAGTCCAAAGCTTGCGCCCGCTGCGCCGGCATCTTTGGCGTTGAGGACGGCTTCGCGGGTAGATTCTGCAGATATGCCAGCTACAATAGGGTAGTCAGGCTTTCCAAGGTCTTTGACAGCGCGCACCGCTGTTTGGAGAATAGCCTTGCGCTCGTCTGCTGTCAGAAGAACGAGTTCGCCGTTGGTCCCGAGGTAGACGAGACCGTGCATACCAGCGCGGACTAAGGCTTGACATTGCTTGTAAAGTGCGTCATGGTCTACGGGTTGCAGAGGATCGCCGGCTTTGTAGATTGTGACAACGGGGGTGTAGACCCCTGGCGGGAGGGGCTTTGACTTGGGTGCGATGGTGCTGGAAGGCATTGTGAAAGTGTTTGCAAGCGTGAGGAGAAGAAAATGATACAACACAAGCTAGATCCAGCAGAAAGATGATACTCGTGATCTTGGGACGTAATTGAGTATGAGGAATGGGATGCGTGCCATTTCACTTTTGGTCGGGAAAGTCAACCCCTCCTAATATTCGACTCCAATTCTGAGATGCGGAGATAGTCGCGGAGAGTCTTCCTCGGCCAGCTTATGGCGAAGAATCACATCCCACACGGCTTCTGCTCCGATCACGCAACCAGCTTGCTCTTTCCTACCTGCATGGAAAACCTTCATCCAGTGGACCAGTAGTAGCGAACATGTTTGAGGATTCGTAAGAAGTCATGTGGTTACGAGCGAGAATCAAATCCTCCCGGCGATGGTCGCTTACCCGCTATCCACATCGGCGAGAATGCCGAAACATGGGGAACGAGCGTGCGGAGCTTACAGGGGTGGCGAAGCACCGGCCGGAATGACGGGGATGTCGCGATCTGTGAGGCGATCCGAGATGCCATTAGGTCTCAGACAAACGCGGTGTAGGGGTTAATAGGGTTTGGCGGTGGCTGTGGCAACTTTTGGAATTGGTAAATGGGATCTAAACATCAGGCTACACCATTTTCAATGTACTTGACCAAACACCCTCTCGCAAAAGAGATCTCAGGCACCTTGTTACTAGTAGACTTTCGGAATGTGTTTGTAAACCGGCGAGAAGCGAGTCCGAACTCCAGCAATTTTCGAAACACGATGACGACAAAGCCAGAGGAGAGTGAGAGAGCCACGATAAGTGTGACTGATCTCAGCAAGCACAACACCAAGTCGGACTGCTGGATAGCAGTACACTCCAAAGTCTGGGATATCACAGACTTCATCAACGAGCATCCGGGAGGCCCGTCGGGTGAGTCTGGCACAACCTGCTAGTCTAGGTCTTTGGGAAACTGACGAATGAGCACTTGTCAGTTCTTCTACAGTGCGCTGGCTCAAATGCCACAAAGATATTCGATGAAGTCCACGCACCAGATATCCTGGAGGAGCTACCAGACGAGAAGTTCATCGGCATACTGAAAGATGCCACTCCAGACGTGCCTGCAGCAGCATCGCAACCAGAGGGTGTTAATGGCACATCATCTGCCCCCGCCGAGACTTCGAAGCACTCTTCTGCCGACGAAGACACCATCCCGCCTCTAGAGGCCATTATCGGTGCGCCAGATCTAGAAGTTGTGGCCTCGAAAGCGCTGACGCCAAAGACATGGGCCTTCTACTCATCTGCGGCTACCGATCTGATCACACACCGAAACAATAAGCAACTCACAAGAAGAATTATGATCCGGCCAAGGATTCTAAGAAATGTCTCGCATATTGATATGAAGACGAACATTCTTGGATTCGAAAGCTCAGCCCCGTTCTTCATCTCGCCTGCCGCGATGGCAAAGCTTGTGCATCCAGATGGCGAGCTGGCTCTCAGTCGCGGTGCAGCAAATGAAGGAATTATTCAATGTGTGAGTATCCAACAGAAAGGAGCCGATAGGTGCCGCAGCTAATCAAGGGCATTAGATTTCGAGCAATGCATCCTACACCCTCAAGTCTATCGTATCCGCCGCGCCGCCATCACAGCCCTTCTTCTTCCAGCTTTACATCAACTCAGAACGTCACAAGACGATCGAGATCCTCCGATCGGCACGTGCACTGGGCATAAAAGCAATCTTCGTGACCGTCGATGCCCCCGTCCCTGGAAAGAGAGAGGCAGACGAGCGTGCAGCTCAAGCAGGAACGATCCGAGCAGCCATTAGCGGCGCTGAAAGTAGCAAGGACAAGAAAGGCAGCGGGCTCGGCCGCTTAATGGCGCAATACATCGACAAGTCGATTACATGGGAGGATCTAACCTGGATCAGAGAGGCTAGCGGAGTACCAATCGTCCTCAAGGGTGTTCAAACTGCAGATGATGTCAGGTTAGCGGTTGAGTACGGGGTTGAAGCAGTCTTCCTGAGCAACCATGGTGGTCGATCTTTGGATGGGTAAGTTTTGAATCTCGAGCTATCACTGGAGATGGGCAGACACACTGACACTGGCTGGACAAAAGATCGCAAGCCTCTATCCTAGTTCTGCTAGAGCTCCGAGAACAGTGTCCCGAAATTTTCGAGAAGCTCGAAGTCTACATCGATGGCGGTTTCGAGCGCGGCTCGGATATCCTCAAAGCAATCGCCCTCGGAGCTACAGCTGTGGGCATCGGGCGACCGTTCTTGTACTCTCTCGTGTATGGCCAAGATGGTGTAGAGCATCTCTCTCAAAGTAAGTGCTCGTTGCTTGTCATCTGATTGATGCGGGTATAAGCTGACCAGTGAACGCGCATTAGTTCTGAAAGACGAGTTGGAGACTTCGATGAGACTTTGTGGCATTACCAGCCTCAGTCAAGCTGCGCCCGCGATGGTGAACACTCTAGATATTGACCATTTGGTAGTTTCTGAGCATAGAGCACGGCAAAAGAAGCCTGTGAGAAGGCCAAGATCAAAGCTCTAGGCTGTGAACAGGCCAGCATAGATACCATGGCAATAATACATCAGTCCTCTCATGATCATAACCGTGAGATGCGAATGGTAGCAAGATGTTGAGGAAATTGAGGATTGGGTCGATGTAGTTTGAAACCACTGAGGCAAGTGGAGCAAATCATGACACTTCTTATGTCTTCGAAGCGTATGGCATGATACATTTAGGCACTCAAAGAACTTGTTAGCACTTTGCCAATGACTAGGATAGCCGATAGAGTCGCACACCAGCATCACGCGGATTAGAGTTGGGAAAGTAGTGGTTGATTGCATGATTATTAGGTTGGTCGCTCTATGGGGAGATTATGCCTGAAGAGTCTTCGCAAATGCCTCAACGGCCTCCAAAATCGTACCATCAGGTTCCAGACCCAAGCCATACGCCCTGCTCACATCAAACCGAGCAGCCCATGTCTCTACAATAGCCAAGATGGCGGCATCCTTCTTTTCTTCGATGAGTGCCAATGATTCTTTGCCACCAACCTTCTCTACCGCATCAAGAATCTCCTGCACCGTAACGGTGATACCAGGTAAGTTAACGACTCTCGATTCCCCAAACTTCTCTTTCGGCACATCCTTGACCTTGACAAGGTTCTTCACCACCGTAGCGGGGCTACAGACCCAGACTTCAAGATCACGGCTAACAGGCAACACATTTTTGATGCCCTTCAGAGTCTCACGAACAATACCTGACGCGAAACTCGATGCCGCAGCAGAAGGCGCGCCAGGTCGCACTGTGACTGTAGGAAGTCGCACAATGCGGCCGTCGATGAGCCCACGCCGCGAGAAGTCCTCCACTAGCAACTCGATAATAAGCTTCTCGGTGCCGTACGATGTCCGCGGCTTCGGCACAGTCTCGCTCTCGATAACAGGCTGACGCGGGCCGTAGACTGCACACGAACTAGTAAAGACGACCGTGGTGCCGGGGTAATTATTCCGGAGGTGATCGAGGACGGCTCGGACGGAATCGAGATTGACTTTGAGGCCTAGGTCGAGGTTCGCTTCCGCCCCGCCGGACATGAGGCCGTGCAGGAGGTAGACAGCTGAGAACTGCCTCGAGAGCAGAGAGCTCACTGCTGCCGGGTCGGTGAGGTCGGCTTTCAAGGAATTGATCTTGCCGCTTTCCCCTGCCACGTCGGCGGGGATGGGGGGCTCGATTACATCTGTGATTGTAAGGGTTGCTGAGGGGTCGGATTTGATGAGGGCAGAGACTAGGGCCTGGCCAACGAAGCCTGCGGCGCCAGTTACGAGGATTTCGTTTGACATTTTGGCTTAACTTTTGGTATGCAACTCTCTAGAGAAGGTCTTGTGGAAGCAAAGTTCTACCGTCAGGGAATCTTCACGCGTCTCGTCACAAAAGAGACGCGATCGCGTGCCCCTCGGCTTTAACTGATCCGATTTCGCTGTGCCGTCATGAGGGGTACAGTTTGCACGCATGGGTACGTTGTCGGAGCTTCTCCTCATACCTCTGTCGCCTGCACATTTACCGAACATATCCGATGACTGAGGAACGGATATGCTGCCACACGCGAAGGTCAGACTTCAGAACATGTAGGTCGGACAGCTCGCCGATGCAGGTCGTCTAATCCGGGCATCGGTGAGTATGCCGATCATCCCACCGGTGGATCTCCGTCCGGGAGCTTCCCCGCACTGAGTAAGAGGGGCATCGCGCAGTCGGAGGTGGTGGGGGTGGTGAGGGATCCCGGCGACAGAGCTGAAAGCCGATGAAGTGATGCCGAAGAGTGAGGTGAAATGACGTGATGGTACAAAACAAACCCTCGGGGATCCGTATGAATTGGTTGAGAATTGCTACAGAGCGCCAACTGCCAGCGCAATCAAGCTCAATCAAGCCGAATTGACAGACCTATCCAAAGACGATTTGGGGTCATTACATGCAACATGGAATACGTGAGGTCAGTACCACAATGATCCCAAGCACAATCGCTCATAAATTGTCATGAAATTGCCCCCTACTCACTAGAGCCGACTATCATAAGCATTGAAGCTATGTTTGAAAAGCTAATAGTCATCACGTAGACTCGGCAATACAGGCCTGAAGGTCTCCAAAATCATCCTCGGATGCATGACCTTTGGTTCCTCCAAATGGGAGGGCTCACCATGGGTCCTTGATGAAGAAGAGGGACTCCAGATCTTGAAGGCAGCATATGACAACGGCATCAATACTTGGGACACGGCAGACACATATTCAAACGGAAAGTCCGAGGTGATCATCGGCAAGGCTCTGAAGAAATTCAACATTCCGCGCCAAAAAGTCGTCATTCTCTCCAAAATCTTCAACCCCGTTCCAGACGATGACTCCAGGCCCGCCAGCGTCAATGATGGTCCACTCGTGAATCAGATGGGTCTGAGCAGGAAACACGTCTTCCATGCCGTCGACCAGTGTCTTGAACGTCTTGGCACGGATTACATCGGTAAGACTATTACGAGTAGCCCAACGAGAAACGTGCCAGATGCTGATAACCCGTAGATGTTCTTCAGATCCACCGCCTCGACCGCGAAACACCTCCCGAGGAAATCATGCGAGCCCTCCACGACGTCGTCCAGTCCGGAAAAGTCCGCTACATTGGCGCCTCGTCCATGTATACATGGGAGTTTGCCCGCCTGCAGTACATCGCCCGGTCCAACGGCTGGACAGAGTTCATCTCAATGCAACCATTCTACAACCTTCTCTACCGCGAAGAGGAGCGGGAAATGCTGCCGTTCTGCCGAGCAAGCGGTGTCGGTGTGATCCCATGGTCACCGATTGCTCGCGGACTGCTGGCGAAGCCCCTCGCCAAAGAGAATGATGAAGGAACCTCGCTGCGTAGTCAGACAGATAAGAAGACGCAGGCGTGGTTTGCGGATGCGAACCTGGATATCGTAAACCGGGTCGAGGAGATTGCGAAGAAGAAGGGTGTCAGCATGGCCCTTGTATCAACTGCGTGGGTGCTACAGCAGGGATGTTGGCCAATCGTAGGCTTGAGTTCCGAGAAGAGGATCAAAGAGACGATAGGGGCGCTCAAGGTAAAGCTGACAGAGGAGGAACTGAAATATCTGGAGAGCGAGTACCGACCCAGGAGTATTCAGGGTATGTAGATAATTACAAACGTACGAATGGGAGGCTTTGGGAACCAAGGGATAGCTACGAAGCCCGTTTTCTTTGGTGATCATGAACCAGGTCTTCCCATCTGATACTCCACGTTTGCGAAATCTTGACCACCAATTGTTGCACCATCCGCGTTTAGCGATGTCATGTCGAACTGGAATACTGGGGACAGACCAAAACTCATGTCATAGTCAAAGAAAAACTCTCCCTCTGGGCCCATGAGAGTCCCATCAGCACTACCACCAGCGAGCTGGGGATCGATGACTTGTGACTGGTCCCCGTTGACCGGTTGCGTATTCAATACCTGCGCTGATGTATCTCCACGGCCAGATTTCAACGTCCTAGCCATGCGCTCGAGACCAGGCGCCATGAGATTAGCTAAATGCCACTGACCAGCTGGTAGAGATCGGAAGTGCCGCACGAGGCTCGTGGTCAGGTTCCAGACGCGGTCCGGCTCGATCAAGTCTCCACCGTACTTGACTGCCACCTTAATGAGGAACATGCAGGCAAATGCCGTCATGCAGTGCAGGTACGAGGGCATGCCCACTACCCCTGCGGCGACGTCCGGGTCGGTGATGATGAAGTCAATGGTTGATGTCGCTACCGAGATAGCTGTTGCGGCGCAGTCGAGGAAGTGGTGCGGTATTGGGCTGTCTCCAGAAAGGCCCCGGAAGATGTGAGAATAAAGATGGAGTTTGGCGAAGTGAAAGTGTAGGAGAGCCCCTTTGCGAGGGAAGCGGCCTATGTGTTGATATTGTTCTATGGTGAATTAGTACAACCATCGTCACAATATTGAGCAGAGGACTGACGCACCTGATAGCGTTTCAGACCAATGTTTGATCCAGTGGTCGAGCTCCTTGTTGAAGTGAGTGATTTGGTGGACGTAGGCTCGTGGCGTCGGTTGACCCTTGTCAGGCCCGAATAGCTCTCGTATGCTACCAATAATGCCCAGGAGGGCAACTTGACTTGCGAGGCGCTTGTCCTCCTCAGTCGATACCGGTGATCGGAGAAAGCTCTCCCATTGTTGCATGGACGAGTCCTCCTGCACAATCGCCGGTCTCCCATACAAGGTGGCAAGATGTTGGTCGCAAATGTTCAATATGTACCACAACCGTGCCCCATCGGCAGCCTCCTCGCTCTTTTCTTGTATGGCGCGGGTATAGCTGTTGTGTAGATTACATTCCGCCGCTCTCCTGATTGCATACCCAGACAACATCCAAGACATGTCAGAGAGCCAGTACGACGCCACGCACATGGCGCGGAGGTAGTCACGGTTCACTCGCCGATCAAACATTGATCTCTCTGTGAGCCTCCTGAACTCCGAGCTGCAGATACCATACAGGCTGTTTGCTTGTGGATCATGCAGCGCGGCAACTGTTAGGGTCGCCGCAGCCAGTATAGGGCTTTTGCGACGCAACTCATCCAGTTGTTGGTACTTGCACCCCACGCCATACATGAAAGCATCGAGGCGGTCTCGATAAAGACGGAAAAGGCGTTCGGCATCGTCTAGGCGCAGGGCACCTCGGGCAATGAAGTCATCTTGGGCCGGACTGGAATGGCCCTCCGGGGCGTCTGGCGATCTGAGCGCCCTCAGCTTTGTAAGAGCGTAGAGTGAGTGGATTGGTACGTGGGGGAGGTTTTCGTCTTCTGGGGATATCTTGGGGGAGTTGTCGCACGAGGGACCGTGGTTGTCCTGCCCGGCCACGCCGAAACGGGTTGCGTTGGCAGCCAGCCCGGGGCCGGACCGGCTCTGCTGTGACGGGGACTCAGCTGCTTTCTGAAGCGTTGAACTCTGTAGTGCCGCTGGCTCAGGTAGCCCCATCTTCTTGGTGACTTCTCTCAACGTGTTGTGCAGGTTCTCAATGTCTTGTAAGACTGCTTCGTTGTACCTTTAAATGGTAAGTCGACTCAACGCCTCATCTCTCTTTAGGTCTTCGCTGGGGTCTTACTGTGTTTTCTCGTCGATGATGCTCTGCAGGTTCTTGCCCAAAACACAACCCAGATTTCTTTCGGAACATCGCCGACATGGTGGTCCGCTCTCGTCCATTAGACATTTGATCTTGGAGCTTGGTTAGACTTGAGGCTCTTTCAACCCTTCGATCCAGATGATGATCGCCTTTGCATACCTTGTGCTTTCTACAGGCTGCACAAGCCTTGATCTTTCGGGAAATTTGCGGAAAAGACTGCTCCCCGTTCCCGGCCGTCATCAACTTTACAGGTCTAAAGTATCAGTGTGTGATCTGCAAACCGTAGACAAGAACTGTTCATCTTACCGTCATAAACTCCATGTTGTCATTGGCATCAGACCATGTTCTCTTCGCCATAGTGGAAACCTCGAGCCTCCGGATGAGGCTGGCTGTAGAATCTCGCACTCGAATCTCGCTTGGCTAGTTGGAGTCATCGGCCGTGAGGAGGATGAAAAGAGGAGAAGTTCGGCTCCAAAACACGCAATGGCCCGCGCGAGTCGACCGCGTGGTCGGCACTTGTGTGGAGAAAAGAACAGGGGGCCAACGCCGTCGAGACTCAAGGGGGTGAGATCGAATGGCTTCCCTCCCCCGACAGCTTAGAAAGCAGTTGGAGATGATTGAAGGCTCGGAGTTGACCCCGCTTCCCCGCATAAAGCTGGGATCCGTCTCCCAACGTTGTCCATCTTTGCGAGGTTACATCCAATTCAACCTCATCTATAATTGAGCCTAACGTTTCTCCTTTCGAATTGTGACCAGAACATGGTGAACTGAATTGCACTCTCTGTTTAGGTTTCGATTAGTTATTGATGTGGACAAAAAATCTCGTCTTCTGAGTGCGAAGCTCGTTTTGAACTCAGTGCAGACTACAGCAGCACTTCACCGAACAAGAAAAGTTCTGTCAAAAGAAAGATGACAACGCCAATTCGAAACCATTATGCACTGCAATTTGAAATCGAGCAGCCTCAGCCAATGTATTGAGCGCATATATGCTCGTTGGGCTGGAGGCTGATGGCTCCCGTCAATCTTCATGGAGGCGAACAAGCTTTGGGGGGCTGAAACACTGCGACGATGGATACCCCTATTCTTCTTCGGCTTCTGCAGAAGCGATCCAGAAGCAGGCGTGAAAGAAGCTTTGCCTAGTCGCTCATACATGGACTAATGCTGCCCAATGGCAGCATTTGACCGGTCCATCTCGGGTTCCCAAGCCTTGCCACGAACCTGGTTGATGGCGGCAGTACTGAGCTGCCCACCCCAAAATCATAAGGTTAGCATTGCACTCCATGTCATTGGCCTGGAGGTGGAATTTTCTTACAGAGCTGTCCCCTGCTGCCGAAAGCTTGGGGAGATGAACGACGCGTCGTCTCAGCATCGAAAGCTTCCATCTCTTGACAGTCATGTCTCCAATCTTCTACTTTATTGCCCAAAAAGAGCCCAGAAAGGGACTGGGCGTCCGGAGCTTCTTTTCATTCATGGCTATTTCCTAGCGGAATGAACAAAACTACGTCGACCCCATGATCGCGCCATGATGGTACTTCAACTTTTTATAGCAGCTCTTGCTGTGACGCATGCCCTCGCTAGCCCCTTGAGCGGCCGGCCTTGTGGAAACGACTCCACCGCAAAGCAGGGTCATCGGAATCTCTTATACGTAACGAATTGGGGGATTTATGGTGCGGGCTACCACCCCGATAGCCTTCCTGTAGAAGACATTACGCATGTGCTATACGCTTTCGCAGATATAACATCGAACGGAACAGTGTAAGTCTCGCGTCTTCTTTCGAACTTGAGTCGAACTTGAGTTCCGATCCTGATCCACGTCCCTGTCTAGCGTCTCATCAGATCCATGGGCCGACACCGGAAAGCCTTTTGGCAACGAAAGCACCACAGAGCCTGGCCATAACGCTGACGGCCTGGTTAAACAGCTCTACCTAAAGAAAATGGCCAACCGCAACATGAAAGTCATACTATCCATAGGCGGCTACAACTGGTCACCCAAATTCGAACCCGTCGCTGCCGACAAATTTCGCCGCGCAACCTTTGTTTCCTCCGCCATCAATCTCATGGCAGACTTTGGGATGGATGGCATCGACATCGACTACGAGTACCCAAACACTACTGAAAAGAATCAAAATTGCGTAAAGCTCCTGTCCGAACTTCGCACAGGCTTGGACGACTTTTCGAAGAGCAATGCAGGCGGATATCACTTCACTCTAGGCTTTCCTGCACCAGCAGGTCCTCAAAACTACAAAGCATTTGACTTCCAAGAGATGGACAAGTCTCTCGACTTCTGGTCACTCATGGCATTTGATTTTACCGGTGCCTGGGAGAACGTCACAGGCCACCAGTCCAATGTCTTCCGCAGCAAGCGAAACCCGCAAAGCACCAGGGCGAGCGTCGAGAGGGCCTTCGAGGACTACGTTGAAGAAGGAGGGATCTCTCCTGCCAAGATCAACTTAGGTATGCCCCTCTACGGTCGCGCCTTCGGCAACACCAAGGGTTTGGGGAAATCGTACAGCGGACTACCGAATGGTACGCTCGGCCAAGCTGGAATCTACCTCTACAAAGACCTCCCTAGGCCCGGTGCGACGGTCCATTGGGACAGTGCAGTCAAGGCCACGTACTCATACAACAACGCGACGCGAGAGCTGGTGACATTTGACAATATAAGAAGCGCAAAGTACAAGCAGGCTTATATCAAGAAAAAGAAACTAGGTGGTGCTATGTTCTGGGAGGCTACGGGCGATAAGGCGGGTGACGAGAGTCTGGTTCGCAGTATGGCGAAGGGGATGGGCAAACTTGAGAAGTCGCAGAACTTGCTGTGGTACCCGACTTCTCAGTATGACAACATTCGCAATGGGATGAAGACAAAGTTTATTGTGCCTCCAAGCAAGAGATCATAAAGTTGGCCGAAACTCACGGGCTACATGAATTCATTGAGCTTTGGTTCAAAGCCAGGGTATGTGTGCAGATGCAAGTAAATGTGATCATGCGAAAACGTTGGGATAGAAGTGACTTGGCTGCTTGTGAGGCGGGAAAATTAAACTATTGTCTATCAAGTTTGAAGATAAAAGCATCTCGACGATTGTGTATAAATGGAGGCAGTAGAGAGGCATATGGGCTTTATAGTTCTGCACCACTGCCTGCGTTTGTCATGCTTTTGCGCCGTATCGATCTCGCTGTGATCGCATTAGTGTGATCATCCTGGTGCAGCTCCAGCTAGGTAGCCACCTGTGCCACTATTAAGTGCCCAAGCCTGATGAGGGGTATGCAAGGTGTAGTGCGATAAAAGCTACAAACACAAGACCTCCATTAATGCAGACCGTTCATGTCCCTGAAAAGTGTGATAGCATGAGCTGATCTGGGTAAAACAGTGCGAGCCAATCCCCGTCATCAGCGTCCGAGGCTGACGCAAGGCAAGACATCGAGCACATCTTCATTTGAGCTGAAGGTGTCTTAGTCTGTCAAGAGGCTGGCTGAGGTTGAGTCCGTCAAGTATTGCGACACCTGCAGGTCGCCCAAGATTGATTAAACGCGGGCCCAAGCGTTTCTCCGCGCAAGATTGGACGAGGTACGCGGTGGCCGTTCGCAAAATGTGTCCTTCATGTAATTCCTTGTTGACAGTCACGCTAGACTAAACGTCCATTACATTTCCCCGCTTCAATAGTCGCGTTCCGGGGCCCAGGTAACATGGCCCAGATCGCAGTCTGGAACCCAGTCCGTTGGATAAGCCTAGCTTGAGCGGCTAGCTGGCTGACTTTCATCACATTTGTTCCATGGGAATTGTGATATGTACATATTTTGTGAGACAACTCAGCTTAGCATTTGGTCTCGGGATACTCCCTTACCCGAGATAGGAAAGGTTAAGTTTCAATCAATGACTGCGTCTGGTTAACATCTTGCTGTCCACGTGCGGTCCACTCAGCTGGGACAATATCTTGACTTCACACACGACAACAACTTATGAAAGAGTCTCGATCAATTCTCCCACCCAGTTACTAGGACAGCAAGACTGATAGATGAGGTGGCAGCGACGCAACAAGACTAGCTTCTTTCCGCCTGCCCTGCTTGAAAATACGGAAGCGTACATGTACATGTAATGTCGGGTTCAGGAGCGGACTCGAACAGACATCAATAGTCAGAGTTCATTCCTCTTTGGGATTGAATTATACACAGCTGAGCTATAGTCGAATGAGTAACTTTGAACCATAGTTTGCATGGCCACAGCTGGAACGGACTCAAGGACATAAAGACTGGATGGGATCACCCTCAATTCCAGGGTCCTGTCAGGAACAAAAGCAAAGCACAGATACCTTCGGACTATTAGCTTTAATCCCATTCTATTCAGGTCCAGTTCTCCACCATCTTTCAAAATGGTCACGTACAGCATCACAGTCCAGAACCAGTCTGGTTCTCAGCAGCAGTATGTCCTCTTTAACAAGCCACCAGTGGTTACTGGCAGAGTCCAGGGCCAAATTTGGTCCAACGTCTTTGCGACTGGAAACACCCCCAGAGGCTCCCGGACGAACTTTACATTCTCCGGTCAGTACTCTGCTGTTGTTGCAACTTCCCAGGGTAGCCCTTCATCGGGTGTTCAGGTCAACGTGAGCGGCCAAAAAGATGTCACCCTCGGTTCTGTCAAGAATGACGGGACCGCCGTCCCAGGCAGCACTCTGCAGCTTATTGTCGCTGGAGACGCACCGCAATTCAGCAACAATCCTCTTCCTAACAGTGCCTTCTCGAATGCCTTTGAAATCCAAACCGGCAATGATTTTACTTTTGCCCAAGCTAAGCAGGGTTAGTTCTCTTATTCCGAATATTGGAGGTCAACCTATGCATAAAATTGAGCTGAATGTCATGTCAGGAAACTACCTAATCGGTCTTGGAGCTTCCAGGACTGGCAATGGCCAGGATGGACCTTTGGCTGCTTTCGTTCCCGAGCCCAGTGTACGATACCAAATTCAGCCTCTCAACACCTATTACTTGACAGTTGGCAGCTACCGCAAAGGAGAATTTATTGATGCGAGCATGATCGGAGGCAGCATTGTGACTGTTGACTTCAGTAGGTTGCAGTCCAACGTGGTTATCGTTCACGACGACCGTGGCAACCTTCAAATCCAGGCCTAGTAATGGATTGGATTGAGTTATTCAGGAATATCACAGATCAAAATCAATCACTAGAGTCGTTTTGACATAAGTAGAAGCATCGAACTTGTACCTTACCCTCAGTTGAGACGCTATCTACGACTAGGTACTTACTTGTCTTCGTCGGTAATGCGGAATTCAGCACGCGATTCTTTCCTCGGCCGCAATAATCCTGTCGACATTACGAGCCACGTTCATTTCGACAGCGTCGTTGTGACTGTGATTCTGTTTCTCCGCTTTCGGTGAAGGGTGTGGATAACCCGTCTGTTGCGATGCTGGGGACGGAGCACGTCATCGGAACTCGCGCACGGAGGACTCTTCGCCCATCCGGCGAGCCTGGTTTGCAACGCCGGAAGACGGGCATGCGGCTTATCTAAGAGCCAAACCTTTAAAGTCTTGTCCTTGGAGGCTGCACGATGACATTTGCTTCCCATTTCCAATGGAATGGTCAATTGAGCGACAAGCCTCAATCGAATTAAATCGCAATGCAGCTCACGACGTCAACGCTGGCTTCGGCGGCTTTGTTCCTCAGCTGCAGTGTTGCGGCACAAGGCGATGCTCAGACACCTCTCGTCGGCCCCGCCCGGGATGCCATATCGCCGTCTTCACGGCCAAACATTGTCTTCGTCTTAACCGATGATCAGGACCTGCACATGAACTCTTTGGAGTACATCCCGCTAATTCAGAAACGGCTTATTGAAGAAGGGACATTGTACAAGAAACATTTCTGCACGACGGCAGTTTGCTGCCCGTCGCGTGCGAGTTTGTGGACTGGCAAATTGGCTCATAACACCAACGTCACCGACCTCAACCCACCATACGGTAAGAGATTCACTCGTCCAGTTATCTGACTGATAGAAGACGGGGCTTATGAGCATACACTAATTGGTTTTGCAGGTGGTTTCCCCATTTTTGTGAAAAATGGCCACAATGAGAACTATCTCCCCATTTGGCTACAAAAGGCCGGATACAGCACCTATTACACGGGTAAAATGTTCAATGCCCATACTGTTTGGAACTATGACAGCCCGCACTTGAAGGGCTGGAACTCCTCTGTGAGTGTCCTGCTTTACCAGTCAACCAATCTCCCCTGCTGACTTTGTTTCAGGATTTCCTCCTGGACCCTAACACCTATGACTACTACAACGCCACCTTCCAGCGTGACCATGAGAAGCCGGTCAACCATCTCGGCGAGTACTCGACGGATCTAGTCGCCGAGAAGGCCTACGGGTTCCTGGATGAAGCTGTAGATGCCGGCAAGCCCTTCTTCCTTGGCATTGCTCCCATCGCACCTCACAGCAATGTCAACTCCAGTATCCTTCTCCCAGTCAAGGGCCCAGACGACGATGTGCCCGTCTCTGATGACAAGTTCAGGGTCAGCATTCCGTTAGCTGCTAAGAGGCATGAGCACCTCTTTGAGGATGCCAAAGTTCCGAGAACAGAAAACTTTAACCCTGACAAGCCTTCGGGCGCCGACTGGGTTCGTCGCCAGCCCAAGCTCACGGATGAGAACGTGGCATACAACGATAAGCACTATCAAGGACGTCTACGTGCCCTACAAGCAGTCGATGAGCTTGTTGATGGTCTCGTGGAGAGATTGGAAAGGCATGGCATCCTGGACAACACCTACATCTTCTACACGACGGACAACGGCTACCACATTAGCCAGCACCGGCTGCAGCCCGGCAAGGAGTGTGGATACGAGGAAGATATCAATATTCCACTGATCGTTCGTGGACCTGGTGTTCCCAAGGGAGGCGTGACTGAAGCCGTAACGGCCCACGTTGACCTCGTTCCCACCATCCTGTCGCTCGCGGGTGCCCCGTTGAGAGCCGACTTTGATGGAGCCCCGATCCCGCTCTCGACAAAGGACCTGACGGAGTCCCCCTTGACTCGCGAGCACGTTAATGTTGAGTACTGGGGCTGGGCAATCACTGAGAGCAAGTTCGGCTTCAATGGCGATGATACGAAGCGCATCTTCAACAACACGTACAAGGCGCTGAGGGTTGTTGGGGAGGGCTACAACCTCTACTACTCTGTTTGGTGCACTAACGAGCATGAGCTGTATGATATGACTGTAAGTTTGCTTAAATCCGTGGTTGACATCCTGCATGTGAAGAAGTAGAGCGTATGTGCTGATAATTTGCCCAATCTAGACGGACCCCGGCCAGCTTCGCAACCTCTTGCACGCCGACGAGGCCGCCCTTGCTGCAGGCGCGACCATTCTCGGCTACCCTCTCAAGAAGGTCCTACCCAGACTCGACTCCCTACTCTTCGTTCTCAAGTCTTGCAAGGGCACGACATGCTCGCAGCCATGGAAGGCATTACACCCTACAGGAAACGTCGGCAGTCTACTCGAAGCCCTCGCACCGCGCTTTGACGAGTTCTACACCCAGCAGACGCGTGTGCAATTTGATCACTGCGAGCTGGGTCACATTGTCGAGGCCGAAGGGCCGCAGTTTGAGCATGATGGAGCTGTGTACTGGAAGGGTTCCAAGTGGAGCGACTGGACCTGAGCACCTTTGGCTGTATGTAGGAAGCTGTTCTGAGGCATCGCCGGATAATGAAAGCTGAATGGACTACCTACCACTTGCCGATTATCTGCCCTTTGTACGAGAATAGTGGGGTTCTACAGCATCAAAAGGCGGTGAAAATTCCCACAGCCAAGGTCTGCAAGTGTAGCATGTCCAGCAGCGTGACCGTGCGTGATCTCGAACAATCGCAACGTGACGGAGGCAACGGCACGCGGCGAACTGCTCGATCAAGGGCCCGCCGTGCGACATCATGACCCCTCTTCCCCCACATTGAGATCCGCTTCGGAACTAGGAATTTAAGCTCCCTTGCTTTCCGAAACTAGGAAAACCAACATTCCCCCAACTCCGACCAGCTTAGACTTCGGGAAACGCTTGACATCTTAAAGCAAGTGATCCCTGACGTAAGTCTACTCGATTCGTCATCATCTGATGGAAAAAGGTGGTTGTAGCTTGGGTGGGACACTCTACGGAAAACATCTCAGTTTTGACGACGACTTTCCCACGCCTTAATTCCGTGCGCATCCAACGTTCACCTCTACTAAACGCGAAGTCCATTCCCAAATAAATCGCTATGGCGCCGTATCAAGGTCATTGTAACTGTGGCTCGGTGAAGGTCACAGTCAACAAGAAGCCGGATAACATCGTCATCTGTCATTGGTAACTCCACCATTCGCATTGCCTCCACAGCTGCCAATCAGGGGACACAAGTTGACACGATAGAAAATTTCAGTTCAAACTGCAAACGAGCTGGTGGCCGTACGTTGGAATTCGACATCTTTATATTTTCTAAACTGACTGCAATGGAATCATGTAGCCTTCTCCATGAACCTATTTGTCGACGATGGTGAATGGGAGATCGATGATAGCCAAAACACGCTCAAAGAATACCAGGACTCAAACACTGATTCTGGAAACACCATTCAGGTGAGTTGAAACTCTTCCTCTCATAAGGTAGAAACCGTCTCTGACATTACGTTTCCAGCGATGTTTTTGCGGAAAGTGTGGAAGGTAAAGCTATCAACGACTTAGGTGACCTGTCCATCCTGTACTGACGTATCTGGCAGTCCTGTCAAGACCACAACAAAGGCGATTCCGGGCAAAGCTCTCATTAAGGCGTCGTTGTTTGATGACATCCCAACGGAGAAGAGGGAAGTGTACGGACAGAAGGCAATCAACTGGGCGTAGCGGATGATGTAACCGAATTTGAAGTTACGGAATGTGGCGTTTGAGGCGAGAGGGGGCGCACTTTGGCGGATGAGGCTGGGTAAAAGTGACCGAAGATAGGCAGATTGTTGATATCTGTGTTTGATATTGAATTCAGAAAAAACTAGATGGCATTTCGCTTCCATCCAGAATCTGTCAAACGATGAGAGAAAAGGTATTCCAACTGCCCGAATGAAGCAAAAAGTCTATAGTGATCGCCTTTGTCAATTACTCGTCCGCCTCCCTAAACGTTCAAGTCCGCCCCTGTATGCCCAAACTCGCTCTTATACGTCGTATCTATGATCCCAGTATCTACAATTCTCGTATCGGTGCGATTGGAAGGGAAGGTGCGGTTGAATCCCTGATACGGACCCAGACTTGGCGGGAGATCCTGGACTCTCGTTCCCCAGTCACTCTCCCGCCGGCCAAGAGTAAGCACCAGCTCCTGACCCTCAGTGAAGAACTTATGATCAACCCAGCTTTTTCTGTAAGGCTGACCATTCAAAGTCGCCTTTTGGATGTAGATGTTGCGGTAGGTCGGATCAAAATTGATGTTGCGGACCTTGGCCGTCCTGCCTGTTTGCGGGTGCGTGATTTCGAGGCTCTCAAAGAAGGGTGGAATGATCAGATACACATCTTGCCCGGGGTTTGGGAAGAGACCCATCATGGAGAAGGCCAGGAATGATCCCATGGCCCCGCTATCATCGTTACCGGGAAGCCCGGCTGGGTCAGGTGAAAAGAATGAAGGGATGTAGAAGTGGGCTCGTCTTGCTGAGAGAGCTGGACGACCGGCGTAATGGTACTGGAAGACTGTGAGGAAGGCTGGCTCGTTGCCAATGTAGGTGATGTTTTGGTCATGCAAGAAGTTGAGCCTCCGAACAAAGGCGTCCGGACCTCCGAGAGTGTTGATGAGCGTTCCTTGGTCGTGAGGAACAAAGCTATCGAGGTTAGTTACTAGAGGTTCCCATTGCCAATCGCATTCCATGTCAACTTACAAGCCATATTCCCAAAGACTACTCTCAAATGTTTCTGGGCCGTTGTTCTGTAGGGAACAGGAGCTTTGACCGTCTAGATTACTGCAGTTGAGCGGATTCTGGTATGCCCAAGTCTGGTTAAGGAACTTGGGCTCGAAGAATCCTCTGAACCCTGTGTCGGTACCGTTGAAGAAAGCTGATTTCTGGTCCTGCTTGTACAGATTGCGCCAGTTGCTACTCGAGGAAAGATACTTCTCCCGATCGTCCCCATGTCCCATCCGGTCAGCCATGGAGGCGATGCAGAAGTCGTTATAGCTGTACTCGAGTGTTCGTGAGACGCTCCTCGTTAGTGTTCCGAATCCCTTGACGTCGAAATCTTGCACAGGGATGTAACCCAGTTTCTTCCAGCTATCCATGCCGCCGCGGCCATTGACGCTCCAGTCAAACGGTTCTTCATCTGCGTCCTTCTTCACTGCTTCATAGCCCAGTTCCCAGTCAATGCCTTCAGTGATGTTCTTCAAATAGGCGTCTGCTAGAACATTGTCCGCGTTGGATCCTCCTTGAGTGAGGCCCTTGCACAAGCTCATACGGCAGTCCGGAAGCCAGCCGAGGTGAACATATGTGTCGATGAGAGACCGGATCATTTGCGCGACCGAAGTTGGATCGATGATCACCAGAAATGGGATCTGGGAGCGGAACGAATCCCACAGACAGTAAAATGAGTCCCAGTAAGGCTCATCGCTTTTCCATAAGGGATTCTCGCCGGTGTAATTTTGCGGATTGACCATGGTCCGATAGATGCCGCTATAGAAGTTCCTCGCAAATGACTCGTTCACGCGATCAGTGTTGATCTTGATGGGACTGAGCTTGCGACGCCATATTGCTGTTGCTTCACCCGACACCCGCTCAAAGTTGTAATCCGAAATTTCACCCTCAGCATGTTCGCACGCCCGCTGCTCACTGATGAAGCTTGTCGCAACACGCGCGGTGATAGGCTGATCCGCAGACTTGAACCGCACAAAAGCGCCGCCGGGTAAGGGGTACCCGTTGATTGACCGCGAGATAGTCATGTTCTTGACTTCTGTGCTCGCGCGACTGTCTGCAAAGATACCCGTGTCAAGAATCTCAGCGCCATTAAAGTCGGTGCAAAAGTGAAGGACAAAGGTGCCGCTACCAAAACTCGGTTGGAAACGCGCGTTGCCTGTGATGCGTCCGGATTTCGCGTCCACATTGATAGTTGCGTTGTCTTGCCTCGTGTCGCCGAGATCTGAGAGGTCTTGGAGAATAAGAGGCTGTCCTGCTTGAGGGAAGTTGAATCTTATAAGAGATGCTCGCTCAGTCGTCGTCATTTCTACCCTGATACCGGTTTTAAGGGTGATATTGAAGAGTCCTGGCTTTGCGATTACGTCTTTTTCGTTGAAGTAGCCGTACTTCGCTCTTGACTTCTTCGGAAATGTGCACCAGTTGATGACTCCGCTCGGGCAAGTTGTGTACGCGAATAGAGGAAAGTTTCCAAGGGAAGGTTGTCCGCCGGTACCAGAATCGTGCATTGTTGAAAAGCCGGTGACCGGGTTCCCATCCAGAGTGAAGCCGCCTTGATTCGAGCTACTGTTCGTATCCGCAGATGCCTTTGCCATGCCATAGGGTAGTGTCGCACCCACGAAGACGTTGCCACCATTCCTCGAGCCGATGAGAGGATCAACATACTTCAAGGCATCGAAATCATCCAATGCCTCAACTGCGGCTGAGTTCGTCAAGTCTGCAGAGGATGAGCCGGAAACCCAGTTCGATGCAGCTTGTACCGCGTCGTGAGCTACATGTGAGGCTGCGTGAGACAGCGAAGGCAGATGGGTGTCTGGCATAAGCCACCAGCGAAACAACGCCGCGGCGCCATGGAAAGACCACAACTCGCTCCACATCATGAGTCCTGGTTGATGATGTGTTTGCTACCTTGACGAATGGAGTCTAAAGTCTGCAGCGACAACCGCGTTGAAAATTCCCCATCGTACCTTATCATACAAGTAGTAAATGGCTGTTCCGGCCAACACGTGACGAAACGTCAAAGCTAAAGTTGGTCTCAAGTTCAGTAGAGTTTCCTTCGAGCTCTGCTGAGAACGTCCTGCATACCACTCATGCCAGCTTGAGGCGGCCATTGGGCATCATGGCGTAAACGGCGAAAACCGGCCATCGTGCACCGCGATTCCAACCCCGCAGTAGGACTTGTCATGGACTAGATAGTGTAAACTCTCTCTTCATTTTGATGGTTGCATTGAATCTCTTAGCTTCAAAGATGCTTCAATAAGTTGAGGTCGCACGCGGCAATCGAATAACGTGGTCTCGGTCCCGTCGTCGCATTGATCGAAAGCCCGCTTGGACCCGACAGTTGCAAGAAAAACTCAAACAATGGGGCGGAAGGCAGGCATTGGCAGGTCTATCTCTTCGCGAATCCAACCGTTTCACATTGGAAACGAACCTTTTTTCCATTTCGTAGACTGAAAATGGGCGTTTCTCGTTATTTGTTTTCCTCCCGAGTCAGGATGCTTTGGTCCGTGGGGGCGGGTTGACGGCCGCCACCCTGCTTGTTTGCCGGCAAGATGGCTGAGTGCTACCTTCTTTGGGAGCCAGTTGTCGTATTTCGGCTTCGAGAAGCTCTGAGTAGAAGGCATGCGAATTGGACGAACTACAGCTGAGTTTGCTGCTACATAGTAGTACCTGTCTGCCCGCTTGGTCGGCCTGCCTAATGCTGATCGTAATGATGACCGTTCTTATTGGCTTTCGAGAATGTCACCGACCTTGCTCTCTGATCCAGGATAACATTAAAGCGGGTCTCCTTGTATTGGAAGAGTGCTTCGGAGCTGAGCTGGCCTTGCCACAGTGGCCTAGAGCATATCCTAGTCTCCGGGAACTTGGCGTCACTTTCGACCACAGAAACGACTCAGGCCGTGCAGACAGATTGTCCGATCTCTCTGTGCTTTTGAAACGTTCCTCTTTTTCACCAGTGCCTTGGTGTTTGACTATGCCGTCGGAGGCCAAACGAAGGAGATGGCAGATCCTAATGTGATCCGGGCACAGCGCTCGCAGAAGCTTTGGAGGAGGTTCGTGTCACAGCCAGGTGATTGAGCAAAGCTATCCCTGATACCAGTCCATGCCTACAGCTTACTCGAGACCGCGAGCTGCAAGCTTAGGTGAGGGTCGTGACTAGCCCTGTGTTCTTCTATGAAAAGGAGAGTGTTTTTGATGCTACCTTACTTTACTGGTATTATTCGAGTATCTCATCCCTGGATCTCAGACGTTAAACTCATCAATAACACTCTGAGGCTTCACGAAGCTACCCAGCGGATGATACTTGAGGTGAGAGAATCCAAAAGCCTCAGGCCCCCCGATCTCAAGGCCCCTTGTAGAGCCAGTCCAGCGATCACTAGCCGCGATACCCAAGACAGTGACCAAAAGTCCGTACCTGTACTCTGGGGTTCCAATGGCTTCGCCGTTTTGCGCGTCGATGACCGCGATAAGATCTGGCACGATGGCCAAGACATCTTCCTGCATCTCTGTCCCAGCTTCCTGTGGCCCGGATTTTGCAGAGGAAGCCTTGATTGCAGCAATGTTCTCATTCTTGAATGGGATCTTGACGAATCCTGTGAACTGTTCCTTCTTTGGCTCTTGCCCTGGCTCTTCCGATGAAGAGATATCGGCACCTTCGATGACCAGCTCTCCATAGACGTGACCTTTCCTGAGCACCCTTTCGACGCCCACGATCTTGCCCTTGAAGAGAACCTTGGCTGAGCCGTGACCGCCACATTCCTCAACGATGGTCTCCGCAACATTATCGACACAGTTGAGCTTTCTCGCCATGGCAACAGCTCGGCCGATTCGCCACGACTGAGAAATGGTATGTTCCACCACCCACCTCTTGGTCTCGGCTCCCGTCACTGGCGGGTCAGCGACAGCCACCTGCGAGCCCATCTCCGCCAGAGCCGCACGCATGACCCGCTCAACCTGCTTATCAGATGACGCCCGGGACATCGTGACGATGCTGCCGTTCCCGTCACTCATAGTCACTGGCGTCCAGATGGGACTCCGTTCGTTGAAGACGACCGGCGTCGTCTGCCACTTTGTCGGGTATGCCCGGCCCATCCAGTCGCCATCGACTGCCGGGACGTTCATGTTCGTGCTAGAGCCGATCATCATGCTCTGCAGGCCGTTTGCGCCGCCAATCTCGACGGAGATCATATGCGTGGCGGGCGTGCCCAAATGCTTGTACATCTCTTCCTGGGCCTCTTGCATTTCGTCGGCAGACTTCTTTTCGATGGCGACGGTCGGGGACCCCGCATAGCCTCCGCACCCGACGAGGGCATCGTCGGGTATGTCGTGGGGATTAACAACTCTGACGACTGCACCTTTGCGCAGCTTCTCGCGGAGGATGAGTTGCTGGGAGTAGGGAGAGCCCCCTCCGCCTGTGCCGAGGATGTAGCATCCGATGCTGATCCAGTCTAGGTCGGTCTCGCTGATGTACCAGACTCGATCTCTGACAAGAGGCTTGTAAGTCAAGACATCGATCTCTTCCTTGGTCTGAAATGTGGTAGTCTTTACGACTCGGTTGGTCGAGACTTCAGCATCCTGACTCTCATCCTCACTGCTTTGCAGTAAAGATGAAAGATCTGTCCGAGAGAAGTCGAAGTCACCGGCAGCACGCACAATGAAGCGCGACTTGTTGGCAATGTACTACATCTGTCAGCCGACATGGTCCCACGTATCCCAAACTCCCGGGAGGACTTACAGCCAGGGGTATCGTATCCACATCCACGATCTGAACAGACGAAGGAACCGCACCCGCATCAACGGCCTTTCTCCTGGCCTCTTTCTCCACTTCAACCAAGATCTCTTGGATCGATCTGGACTCTGTCGACTTGACCGTGTCAACGGTGGCACTGACACGTGCAATGGCTGCGCCGATCGCGTTGGCGACGCCCGCCCACTCAGGCTTTAGCACCTCGCTAGCCCCCCTTAGCTCGTAAGGCGCAATCAGGGCGCCGCCGCCGACTAGGAGAACAGGTATGTCTTCGGGCGAGGTTTTCATCGTATCGATCACCTTTTCGAGCTTTTGCTTGACGATGGCGGAGAATTGGGTTACGCCTTGGGCATCGAGGGCGCTCTGGACCAAACTAGCGTCTCCGACGGGGGTGGCAGGCGACGATGAGCCGGCGAGGACGGTACAGTCCGTAGCGGTTAGAGTGCATCCTCCAAAGACGATGGCCTCTGTTTTGATCCTATAGCCAACACTGTCTGGTCCAACGGTAAGCTTCTCGACGCCCTTCCGGACTATGGAACCTCCACCTAGGCCGATACTCTTAACATCTGGGCAAGAGAAGTTGAGGCGGACTCCGGCGAATTCACTGTAGGCGGCTTGTTGACGTGGGAAACCGTTGGCCTGCAGTAGACCTACATCGGTAGTCGTACCTCCAATATCGACTACCATAACGGCACGATTGCTAAGTTTGTGATCCTGCACCAGAAAGGCAGCTCCTCGCATGCTGTTGGTCGGGCCGCTGGAGAATGTCCGGATGGGTAGGTTGGCAGCCATCTCGCCTGATAGGATTGTACCGTCATTCTGAGAGATGAAGACTGGGCAGTTGATGCCTAGCCTGCTCATAGGCTCCTGGAATGATTTGATCGTCCTGCGAGCAAAGTTCAACACCGTCGCGTTGAGAATGGCTGCGTTTTCTCGCTCCTGGAAGCCCAGGTTGGCCACGTCTTTGGAGCAGGTGACGGTACAGCCAGAAATCTCTGATCGTATGATGTCGGCAACTCGTTCTTCTTGTCGTTCGATGGTGTCGATGGGGCTGAAGATGCCGTTTACGACTACATTCTTAATGCCCCTTTCTCGAATTACAGCACATTGCGCTTTGATCTCCTCAGTGTCTATATCCGCAATCAGAGTGCCATCTACTTCTAGACCACCCTTGCACAGAGCATAGTAGCCCAAAATTAGGTCGCGTAAATCTTCTGGCCAATCCAGACAGGGCGGATCGTGCTTAGAGAACTGGCTCGTTAGCCTGATCACAGCAACCGGGGCCAGGCGAGCGGCATCCCTCTCGATGAGAGCGTTGACGAAGTGTGTCGTGCCGATGGTCACGCTAGCGATCTCACTCGGATCGATCTTGGTGGATTCGAACATTGTGACAATAGCGTTGTTGATGCCCTCGCTGGGGTTCGTCGTTGTTGGCGACTTGTGCCACGCGATGATACCCTTATCGGGCTCAGAGGCCCGCGAGGGATCGAGGACCACGCCATCCGTGTTTGTCCCGCCGACGTCAACGCCGATGCGGAGGTGTCGGGGTTGGGATGACATGATGGAGTATGTCGTTAGCTACGGGCGTGCCTGCTTTGTTCTACGTTCATGGAAGATCGCTCTATACACTGATGAGGATCGCGGGGTTCAACAACTCTATGGAAAGTGGGAGGTGGGGTACGAAGAATGGCCGATCCCTCGGAGACCGAGGCTCCGGGTACAAGGGCGGAGACCGGCCTCGAGGCGGCTCCGCCAAGACCGGCGGAAGCGGGTAACGGACGGCCTCATCCAACAGACATCCGGAAAGTGATTCCGAAATTGCTGACCACAGGATTGTAGAGTATCATCCGATATTGGAAGTACCATAGTAAGTTGTCATCACGAAGACCCTGGCGCTTTTTGGGGACTCTTCGCTCTAAAACAGAGCGGACTCGGCCTACTTCGCCCGACTGGCGATGACGTGCTCAGGAAAGACCGAGACGGTTCCTTGGCATATTTGAGCAGAAGGCCAGGCCTTCAGAGCCTGCCTGAACGCCGCCTCCGGTGAGCGAAGAATGGCTGGGTAGCCTTCAAAGACTCTGGCAAGCGAGCGGCCTCTCTGCCCGTCTCTGTCCCATAAGTGCCCCCGTA